CTGGTTCAAAATTCACAACACACCCAGGAGGACTGCTCTCTCACTCGGCCAGGCCATGATCCTCCTGCTAAAAACTAACTCACAGAAAATCCCAAAGGCCTCTGGAAGACCATGGAGGACCCCATAGCTCCAGGCTGCTCCTCCAATGTGCTAGCCCTGTTTCTCCTCCAGGGCCTGTGTCCCGGAACCACAGCCTCAGCCTGGAATGCCAATTCCCCCACATTCACCTCCCTCTTTCCCTCACCACCTTCCCATCTTTGCTCAACTGTCTGCTGAATGGGGCTGAGTGACCAGCGCCACCTGACACCCAGGCCCACACCTTCACCCCCTTCATCTCCCTCCCCGTCACTCCACACTGTTGAATACAGTTTGTTTTCTGCTACTTTGGTCTTGCTTTTACTGCTCTCCCTCTCATAGGTAAGTTTTTTTATTTTTCTCTCTCCATTTTTTCATGTATGTGCATGGTGTGCATGTATAGTCTGCATGTTTGCATGTGGGTGGGCACAGGTGTATGTGTGTGCATCTGGAGGCCTTTGATGTCAAGAATCATCCTGCATCGCTCCTCCACCCTATCTATTGAGACAGGGTCTCTCAATCAAACTGGAACTCACTGATATGGCTAGTCTCCGTAGCAGGCTTGCTAGCCTTCAGAGCCTGGAATTACAGGTGGGCCTCCACACACACTGATATTTAGGTGGGTTCCAGGGATCTGAACTTTGATCTTCATGCTTACACAAGTATTTTAGCCACTGAGCCATCTCCCTGCCCTAGAAGCAAGATTTTAATGCTCTGTTCACAGAGCTGTCCTCAGGACCTATAGCTTGATAAGCATTTAAAAAATTTTTTACTACATTGACTGACTGTATGTGTTCACATGCACACATGGAGGTCAGTGGACAACTTGTGGGAATTGGTTCTCTTCTTCCACCATATGGGTCAAGGGATCGAACTCAGCTCACTAGGCTTGGTGGCAAGCATCTTTACCCACTAAGCCATCCAGCCAGCCCCTGAATAAGCATTACTGAGTAGGTGAAGGATGAAGTTGAGCAACAGGGTGAGAAAATGTGTACGTCTAGTCAAAGCTCACCCTCTTAACCACTCCACAGGTAGAGTGAGGAAGCTGTAAGCAGCAGCCCCGTGGTGGGCCGCAGCACTCTAGAAGGATCCAATCTTCTGCTCTGTGGCTAACTAGAAAGGCAAGAGGAAGAGACAGGTGTCCCACAAGGGGTCTTGTGATAGCCCAGCCCCTGTAACTCTGTCCCACACCCTCTTATATATGTATTTTGATTGTGTGTGTGGATGTACATGTGTTGTGGAGGCCAGGGGTGTTGCCTGACTTCCTCAACTGCCCTCCACTTAAGACAGTCTTCCCTTGAACCTGGAGCTTACTAATTCCACTAGTGGCTGGCCAAGCATCTTCCTGTCTCCATCTCCCAGGGCTGAGATTACAGGCACGTGCCACCATGTCCAACTTTTGTAATGTAATGTGGGTGCGGGGAATGTGAACTCAGATACAAGCACTTTATGGATTTTGCTATCTCCCCCAGCCCCTGTATTTTGATTTTTACTTGTCTAGCATCTCAACTAGCATATTCACTCTACATGGACAGGGGTTTTAATCCACTTTATTCTCTATATGAAGTGTGTGATCATTAAGCAGGTGTTCAAAGTGTTTATGAATGGACAGGTGGGAGAATAAAGAATCTTCTGGGCTTGGCAGAGGTAAGGCCAGATCACTTGTCCCAAAGCTATTTGGGATCAAGCCTTCTCCTTCTCCCTTCAATTCTAGGCTCCAACCTCACTAGCCTCCCCTGCTGCTCTTCCACAAGAGTCACAGGACCATTACCTCAAGGCCTTACTTGTATAGTCCACCCAGATCTTTGAATGGCACAGTTAAACCCTGTGATTCAGGATTCATCTCTGGGAACAGCTCACCAACCAGACTCTCACAAAACTCACAGAGCAGCACTGTTTTTGACCTGCCTCTCACCCTGTAAATGAATCGTTATTTGCATCTCTCCCCTTCACAACTGTTAGAGGTCTGGACACTGTTCCGTCTAACAGTGAATATTCATTCAACAAAGAATAAATGCCTACGGGGAAAGACATAAACAGAGGCAGGGTCTTTCCTGGGAGGTTTGGCACAATGTCACAAGAACTGGCTAAAGATTGGGACACTAACTGCTCTGGCCCAATATTCTTCGAGGGAAAGTCTGTACCAAGCACTGTTCTGGCGCAGAGGAGGCCAGGATGATGGTAGGAAGGGAGGCTGGGCAGAATATCACCACAACCTGATGCTAAGCAGGCAGATGTTTCTGCATCTAGAGAGGACACGGTATTAAATCAGAGCCCTAGAGGGAGCTGTTCCACCGAGGGGTGGATTTGAAGCCGTGTTCTTGAGGGGTTGCATGAGAGGGTAAAAAAAAAAAAAGCACTCTTGGTACTGACCAGAATAGAAAATATTTTTGCACCCACAAAGGGGGGAACTGGGGGGTGGGTTGTGTTTAGTCGGACACAGTGGGGGCAGCTCTGCCACAACGACTCATGCCACACCCGCTACAGGACATACTGAGGGCTCAGGAGCAGCTGCCCTCGAAGGGCTGTTGGCACGGGGGGCGGGGGAGGGGGCTGTCGTGGAGTAAGCTCTGAGCAGAGGATTCGTGGGGGGCCCTGGCACTTGAGCGCATCATTGCGAATGAAAGCGCTTTGGCAGCCTTCCCAGGACGTGGAGAGAGGGCGTTCGTGGGCCGGAGACCTGCAGGATCAGGGGGAACTGGGGATCCCCTGGCTCGGGCCCGGCAGAGAAGCACTGACGTTCGGGGGGAGGGGGGGGCGTCCTGGGGACTGCGGCAGGCCCGGGCGGGGCCCCCCGCCCCCGAGGAACCCGGGTCCCCGGGCCGCGCGCCCCGTCACTCACCGGCGCCGGGGTCTCCGCCGGGAGGAGGCTGAGGAGGC